GAGAAGGCAGAGGTGATGGAGATACCCAACCACCACCACCAACAACAACAACAACAAACTCCAGTCACCATCAACGGGAGAAACTTAAAGGAAGTAGCCTCCTTCACCTATCTAGGAAGCACTGTTTCAACTGCAGGCGGCACAGGTACAGAAGAGGATGTCAAAGCCAGAATCGGAAAAGCAAGACAGGCCTCCATCAGCCTGAAACCAGTGTGGAGATCTACTCCACTCCACTCAGCATGTGGAACAACATCCGGATTTTCAACACCAATTCAGTCAAGTCAGTGCTTGAATATGCTTCAGAGACTTGACGCATTACGAAAGGCATTTCCAACAAACTACAGACATTCATCAACAACTGCCTACGCCCACTCGCTACTGAAGATCAGATGGATTGCCAGAAAGAATAAGCAACAAGGAGCTCTGGGAACGAACCAACCAAGAAGCTATCGCTCAACAAATATGCAGAAGGAAGCGGAGATAGGCTGGGCATGCACTGAGAAAGCCGACTGGGGACATCACGCTTCAGGCCAGTTGCTTGAGTGGAATCCCTATGGGAAGCGACGAGTTGGACGTCCGAGGGTGACATGGAGGAGAACGTGTGAGGAGTAAATGAGAGCTTGTGGGCTGTGGCGGAGCCAGGTTGAAACATTTCAGAGAACAGAGTTCACTAGAGACGTGCTACTGAAGCGCTATGTTCCATTAGGAACCCAAGGGATTAATCATAATAATATAATATAATAAGATAAGAATATGTTATCGAATCATTATTTCGCTAAGAGATAATTCGATGAGTAAGCGAACTCTCCACAATTCATACACATCGTATACGCAACACCCACAGCTCATATACATAACATCCACTACCAACATCAGCAAACATAATTAACAGCAACTTGTTGCCAAATTCCAACTTTATCTATTTCTCATCTGTGGCTACTCCTTTCATTATCAACTGACCGAATTCAGTACTATAAGTGAATGAAATTGGTCTCACATTTGTATGACAAGTTGTTAAGACCATATATGACTCCAATCTTTACATAATATTCCCGAGGTACTGTCGCTTTACTTATTATCAGAAATACCACTGATCCACCTGTGGCAGGCAGTGTGAAAACAGAAGATAACACGAAGTATTAAATGGGATGTTGCAGAGACAATGTATCAAAAAAATTCAAAGGCAGCATGAAGACGATTGAATGTTTTATGTGGGGATAAATAAGCAGGTGTTAAGTTACAAGGTAAATGTTAGTTGTTTCAACGAATAAAACAGGAAATATCTGCTACAGAGTCAAGGATTCATTAGTGATTTCATTATATCCACAGATGACATACATCGACTTGATAACATCAGGTGAAAAGCCTGGGTTGGTGGAAAAGTAATTCAAGTCAAACACATGATAAGCAATGTTAACGTCAATAACACTTTGTCTGAAATGAAGGCTGAAGAGCGAGTGCAATATGGAAAGCACATGAGAAGAATAGTCGTTTATCGATATTGCACACATCATTTGAAGTTGTTCGCATGCAAAGTAAGACTGGTCGATTCGATTTGGTAAGACAACCCATCAAAAATTACAGGTACCAATCAATGACACCTGAGAGCCATTCATTGGCCAATCGATAGCTATCTTGATCCAGTAGTCTTGTGGCTAACTATCTGATATTTGAAGTGATGCGTATTCAGTTTCAGGGTCAGTAGTAAACACCATAACCTACAGGTGACAGATGTTAAATAGCACAGAATGTGTCCTCTTCATTGTCGTGGTAGTCACCATCAAGCAAGTAACTTCAAATTACTAATCTCAACACCGACTCCATTCTGCATCTCACTTCCACGAAACTGCTTTCAACACCTAGTCGTCACAAAGGATGTACACACTTCAATGTTGTGGAAGAACAATTCCCTCTACCGTAAAACTTGACATTCAATTCACAGAGGTCAATACACTCCTGCTTCTATTTTTCACAACTCATTTCATTTGACAGCAATACATGAAATTACATGACCTGAAACTTATCATATGATGTGACCCACAGTTGTGTGATGCATGTGTACGGTATTTCTAAAACACTGTGAAACAAACTCTACGTGATCATTTGGTGATATTCTGGGTCAATTGTTGATTGTACTGGTCAAAAGCACGAACAGACTAAAATAAGGTTTTCTCTACAATTTATTTAATAGCTAGTCATGATGACCTTATGTGTGATTGTTTGTTTCTACTAAAACCTCGTCATTGTCTCCATGTTTATTCTGATTAGTTGTCTTGATGACCTAAAATCTCATATTCTGGTTGATAGATTGGATCAACGTATGTTTGTTAACTGCTGGATAAGCTTCTAAAAATTCTCTGTAATCTATCTATCCGACATCTTCACATTTTCCCAGTCAAACTCACCTTCACACTTTTCCATATGCTGAGCTACAAATATTCTCCATTATCTCACAATACATGCATGCTTCTTATTTTTTACATTGTGCTCGTTCATCGACTGATTTCCATCTTTCTCTGTTCATTAAATGTCAACAGAGACCTACGAATACACCGAACACAGGATCACACCCAGTGTAGATGTCAGAAAGGATTAAGAGCACAGCGAAATATTGCATGATGAGCAAATTCCATTCAGCTCTGATAGGATAAATATTGCCACCTGATAATAATGAATATACACTTCAAACAGATCTTTTCTCTTATATATTAAAGCTGCATTCAAATTCACCTCTTTTCGCCTTGTCATCTTCCTTCATCTCAATACTTCACAGATATCACCTCTGTTCACCTCTACAAAATATTCGACAGTCGATTGTCTGCTCTACTGACTTCCTACAAAAATGTCACCTCATATACTAACCACTTAGACACATTCTCTTCAGTAGCTTACATCTCATCTCTTCCCTACTCCCACTAAAATGTCAGACACTCACATCTGCTAATTATCGATTCCATTTATCCATGACATTGCACGTATTCATGACACTAGTCGACACTCACGAGTTCATCTCTATCGACTTTCGCGTTCGTGTAAACTGACTGCACTGTACCTCTCACTGACCACCTATGATCCCATCCACTTTCGGAACAGTTCACTTGGTGCTGTGGCACCTCTACTCGTGTACTTTCCTTCTCTACACTACAAGTCATCCCGAAACTCGAATACTTCTCATTTGTAAACTTCCTTCTACTCGAACTTCTCGATGTCACTGTGCTGATTATCCTCACGAACCCTAATGGCTTACTACCACTCCACATCCCATCACATCCTACCCCATGTCTGTTGCTGAAAACATATTCTACTGTGCAGTGTTATCTACAGTCTCCTATCACAAATCACCTAGAAGGCTTACCTCTTACTTATGTTTTGTATGCAGACACAACATGCTAATAGAACTAATCCCAAACATGTCTCTTAGCCACCACCCTTCGATACAAACCACTCCACCACTGTACACTCATTCCTATCTGTGAAACCAATCACCTATCATTGATTTGATTTCGTCTGCATCCCTATGATATCCAGCTATTGAAGGTGGCATTTGAATTCCTTGCTCATAAAATGCAGACTCTCTTTCTCTCTCTCTCTCTCTGACTAACCAGTCAATATCATCTTACACAAACCATGTTCAGCAACAGCATTTTTGAAAATCATCTCTCTCAATGTCTTTGAGCGGTGGTCTGAAATCTCCACAGCAGATAACCAACATGTTGCATGCAGTAACCAACAGTGAGGTTTCAACTCAGTTATCGGAAATCAACACAGAATCCATTCTTCCCACGCTATTACGAATTCAACGATAACCCTATTCGATATCACCTCTACCTGTCAGTTAACATCGTCTACTAGCTGGCATAGGACTCAACGCCTGAAAAAGCTTATTGTGATGAGTTATCATTGTCCGTACAGAAAGGCTATGCATGATTAAGTTATCCGGACTTGTCGAGAATAACTGTCTAATGTGTGGGGATATTGCGATTGATTACAGCTTCTCTCTGCTACTTCCAATCCTCTCATATTCCCAATGGCCATTTGTCAAAATAAACTGAATGCCTGTTACTGTCACAAAACCGTAGTATTAATACCTGATGCTGCGCCGCAGCACACTCAGATCACACAAGGTGTACAATGAGAAAGTGAGGCAGTCTACCGCCAACTCATAAGCATCTCTCAACATCTACACACACAACACACACACACACACACCACCATAGTTCACTCACACAAAGGAAGCTTCCACATGAAGAATACTCGCAAAACAATGCTCACAAACCACTTTCTTCATTCACACTTCTCACAAACATCGGAAATCGCACGTCAAAATATACCTGTGAAGTCCTCTACTTTTGCCTTCTCCACCCCTCTGTTACCAACATCTACATATCTCTAAATAAGATGGGATGCAATCAGACAGTCGATAACATGCTCCACTATACCTCACTACATACATTCATTACAAATCATATCATTGATAATCAACACATTGTTATCTGCTAACTCACGGATTCCTACATCAACCAGTATGGAAGGTCGGATGAATCGCACATGTCACCGACTGCAATTCAATTCATTCATTACCATCCCTCCACTAACCAGTCCTTAGACTGCAACACACACACACACACACACACAATACCCGTCACCCTTACACATCATCTTCACTCTCTTCACATAACTCAATACAGTCAGTCTCGGTTAACCACTTACTTATGTAGACACATACAACACTCACAAAGTAATCACGGTTAGTACGTTTCCGATGCCTCATGCTCATACCCATACCCGTACCCATCTCAACATTATTTACACAAATCCTTAAGAAGAAGAAGAAGAAGAAGAAGAAGACAGCAGACAGAAGTGTTAGTGTAAATCCACTTTTCTTCAAACAAATCTCTAATCCATGGTATCAAAGCAATTGTAGTAGTGTGATATCAAATTGTTAGAAAAAACAAAACATCAAGATCATCAGTGGTGCATGTGTGTGTCTGTCATCCTACTCAAGAGTTCTTAATTGAAATCGGCATCGAAATCACCTTCGTTTGAAGGTAACCATCGATCGCTTCCTTCCCACTGAAATGAGAAAGATGCATAGATTAACACAATGTCACATATAGCAGTATTAACAGCAACAGCAACAACAACAACAACACACTTGGATATCGGTTACACAATAGAAGAGATGGTAGGTGTATTATCAACTGAAAATAATAACGAGGAGATTGAGTGAAGTAGAAATTTAAATTCAATTGTTGTCAGTTGTGGTTATTCGAATGATAAGCTTCCGAGTAACATCATAACAATCGAGAACCAATCTGCCAATCACCTCCTCCTAGTAAACTCATGCATCTCTTGAATACGCAGCAATAGAATTACTTCATGAAAATCAATCCACTACATGTTTGTGTATCACATCTCAGTACAACAGTTCATATCTCACGTCTAACTAATTAGGTGAAGAGATTTTCAACTTGCACATCACTATCCTAAGCATTCAGTCATGAGATGAAGGGTAGTCTTCGAAATCGACTTCACTTCACTAGCATTTATCACATGCCCCTTCACAATATCCATGCTCCACAGCTTAGTGCACTCATCTCTACTGCATTCCGATGTACAGTGTATACACAATTCATCATGTACGGTACACTGTTATGGCGAGTCATGGCATGATGTTCAAGTAGATAGTAATGAATTTCAGGTATGTCTACCATTGCAGTTGCACATCGTAATTTAATCACTCACACATCTCCGACATTTCTCAAACGTCAACTTTTCAACAAAGTTCACTCATCCAGTCGGAACAGTCAAATTGAGGGAATAGATTGCATCAGGAACGTTCCAACTTTTGAACATTAGACTGCAACAATCCACTTTCACCGTCTTCTAATGAATACTCTTTGACTCCCAAAACATGGTACAGTGCATACTTATTCCTTGAATAGGTAGGTCATCGGTGATATGAATTGCAGTTTCATTCACATGTTCTTTAGCCACATTCATTTCGCTTCGCTTCAGTGCAGCCGCACTCACCATCCAACTATCTGAAGCCTAGACAAGAATTCACACACGATATCTCATCTCACCTTTCTCCCTCCAACACTAAGTAACTACAAAATGTGTTGGTTGGAACACTAAAACAATTATCAAGCAAATCATCTACACAATAACTTACAATTCACGTCCTATACCAGACATTTTGAAACCACCGAAAGGAGCTTGAGCATACACCACATTATAACTATTGATCCTGTAACCAAAAACAACAACATCAATTCAAACAAAACACAATATGGTAGACCTGAATCATGAGTCATGTGAGAATACTGAGACATTGTGAAACAGAAATCGTCAACACTAACTACTCACATATGGAATCAATGTTGGCCAACACTACAGACGAAACATGAGATGCCACAATTCACAAGTATATGCACGTAAGGACAGAAAATGAAGTGACTCATGGGATTGAAGAACAATTTGTCAATCACGCCGTTTTTAAAGACCAATGTCTATATGACATGAACACTGAAACAGTATGAATAACTCATTGATTATGAGTGTTAGCTTATTAAGTACTGAAAACACACCTTCACAAATTAATTTCTCTGGTGAGTAGTGATGGGTAGTAGAAAGGAGCGAGAATGTGATAAGCATTCATTGAACGGTGTCTTAGATAAGCTTGACTGAGAACTGACAACAACAACTTTCATTCATGAAAGTCGATTCTCAAACACTAATGACAAATGCAAGGTAAGAGTAGAACTGGAACATTGTTGCACTATATGACTCAGGATCGATAAACATTGGTCGACAGCATCCCATCACATTCCTGTACACAGTCTGACCTTAAAAGCCTAAGTCAATCTCTCTTCGATAACATCAGTGAAGGCGTTTCCACAAATCGAGTCAGATGTCTGCTTGGCTGAGAGGTCAAACAATTCATCAGACAAATACACAAACATAGCTATTGTTGAACAACTATCCCTTAAAGTCTATTTAGAAATTCAATGCAGCTGATTATAAAAGGAAAACAACATGAGCACTGACTTCAATATGACTGGGATGTGTGTAGGCAGTTACTCCAGTTACTCACTGGAGCTCAATCCACCCACCATCAAGCACACAATGACTATTGAATGTCGACTGTTTAAACTTGTCGATTCATCACAATTCTCCCACTCACATGATTGCTGCATCAATTCACTTACTCAATCCAGCTACGCTTGGATACACGATTGATTTCAAGGAAGACTTCCTCACAGATTCCCAACAGTTGAACAACTGTTGAACACCTTCACTCACTCTTCCTTTCAAAGTCCTCTAATATGTAATATACAATGCAGTGACTGTGATTTAATCTATTTCCGTCTAAGTACTCGACTGAGGTCAGTCACAGCACCAAAATATGCAACCAGTCTAGAGAAAAACTGAACCATTACTACAAATCCACCTCAACATAGACCTAACCATTATCACTATCACTACCGTTACTATCCATGCACCAACACAGACACAAACACACACACACACACACACCTACATACACAATGAGTAGAGACAAAGTGACAGTCGTGAGCAAAGGACTACTATCAACCATGTGAAGATGAAATAAACACTATGTTGCAAACAAACATTCACTTAAACACAATAGAACATTCGATTTGTAATGGCCTTGCAATGACCAATTAAGAATTCACAGTCCAAACAGTGTTCAAATGTTCAGTTTGAGACTGGACAAGGAATGAAAACCAAACACTAACCACCATGTGAATACAACCAAATTGAAAGCGAAAATATTCGACACTAAACAAGCACGCAACCAATTATGTCAACTGACAACCGAATAATTCTCATCGCTTTATGATTTACACAAAGTATGTTATTGCGAAACTCATTTCATTGTATAGATGGATAAATAATTCACTAAGTTTTTCACATCCTATTAACAGACATCCTAATGATTCCAGGTATCATTGTCTACATTCTAACTCCCACTGAATGTTTACATTGAAAATGACAAACACTTTCACCATCTTAATTTTATTGTCTTCATATAATACACATATGATTTATCTGTCTGATTTCGTGAGTTTATACTTTCTCACATGCACCAACCAACCGATACAGCCAGTCAATCGAGGCAGGAGGTTAAACAAACAGTCAAATGATCATTCATCATCATTAGAGCACGAAAGGGTGGTCAACATATGATTATATCACATGTGAGATTCTGAGTGTAATTAACTGCTTACTACACACTTTCAACTCATGTTGCAACAGTATATAAGCCACAAACATCACTAACTCTCAGTAGTCTCTCACTTCACTAAGTAGTAGACCATAACGTGAAGAAGTGGTGAACAATGTTGAGACAAAAATCTCATTCAAATGCTGCAATAACTCAGGTGTGCGTACCGATTGAAAGTATCACTGCAATGCAACAATATGAGTGGCTTTTGAGGTCAACAAATGAAAATATGTTTCAACTGAATGGAGAGTAGAAACACAATCTTGAAATAACAGTGTGTTCTAGTGAATTCCGAAAATCCACGAGTTCACACCACAAATCTCATTTACGGGATTAAAGTGACTAGAGATAGGACAGCAGTCGTGCTGCTCACAACAACTGAGGAACTAGCTGTCTAATAAGTCAACCAATTAGATGGTATGCAAATAAATCTAACCAAATGAGTTGAAATCAGCAAACAAGTCCAATAAAATAGCATCCTGTCAATCACTCACCATTAAGGTGTACTTATCAAGGTGGTAGATGCATGGTGGTCATTCTTGCCTCCTGTCCACATTATCCTCTGAATGACAACAAACTACTCCTCACATCCACAAACAAACTGATGAAACATCGCAATTTTAGATTGTTCTAAGATAATAATAATAACAATGAAATACATTTCATGAAACATATCTTATTCATGTCACCACTCCCAAACACCACCCCACAACCCTATCATACTCGCCAATTACGTATCAATCAATATCACTCATCTTACCAGAAACTTCCAGCTTCCACGCATTGAGCAACTCTCATCGCTTTATCCATATCCCTGGTGAAAACACCACCACCCAATCCATAGTGGGTAGCATTCGCACGTTCAATCACTTCTTCCAATGTCTCGAATTTCAAAATACACTGAACTGGACCGAAAATCTCTTCTCTCGCTATACACATTTCATCCTTGACATCTGCAAACACTGTCGGTTGAATAAAATAACCCTTTGCACCAACTCGACATCCTCCCGTAACCAATCGAGCACCTTCCACCTTCCCTTTCTCAATGTACGACATAACTCTGTTGAATTGTATTTTATCGACCTGAGGAAATCAATAAAATATTGTAGCATCTCACACTTAAGAAGTTCACACAATCTGGTGTTGTCTATCAATCGGAAACAACCATCATTCCTGACCTAGGTTTCAGGCTCGGCAACACCAATCAGCAAGATACACTTGAAAACCTAACAGAATTCCTGTCTACTCAAAGATGCTAAACGGTGTTGTTTATTGTCGATAATTAGGACCATTGAACCACCCAGTAGGTGCTCAATTCGAGCCTGAATCCATACTCAACTGCGTTTTCCCCCTGCGAAATTCGATCAGGCATACGTTCCTGAAAACTCAAACGCGAAATTTCGCTCCAGAATTACTCTTCACTGATGTCCTGTCTAGTAATATGGAGTGGGCGTGTTAACCACTTCACTTGTCTGGGAAGTCGGTTCACCTCTAATCGGTCGATCAGTGATCGACGAAATCTCTGTGTGGCTACGCACGCTTCGCTTGGCTTTCGTCAACTCACGCCAATTGTGGCGGTGACATGATATCTCAGTGTTTAATAATGGTCGATTCTACTGCACCACACTTTGATCTGTTCTTCTTTACCACTCTAAAGCATGACCATCAAACGGAAAAGTGAAGAACATAAGAAGGCTTTAGATGTTCGACCATCACTGCCTTATTAGCACAATCTGTGTCATCGTGTCAACAGATCAGAAATGCGGAGATCAGGTGTACAATGTTAAGATTCCATCTTCACTCACCCTCCATAGAACTACCTTCACCTTACTACAATGATTCCTTCCAAAACTGACTTACTCTTACAAATGTGTACACAGACTTTGTGAACTCGACAATAACTGGTGCATTGTTCATCGAATTCAGGTGCTCAATATTGATCGATTGTGTTTCACAAACTCAGCTTCTATCTTCCACAAATCCCTGCATTATCTGATTATCTCTCACAACTCTATATCCACTCCTATCTATCTTATCACTGTGCACAAACTTAGTGTGAAACAAACGAATGCGAACTACATAAGAGAATCACCAGTTGGGAGACAGTAAATCAAGGTCATCATCGAAATTACCTCTCAGTTTTCAGCTCACATGATGATACCATTCCATAGACCCTGTACCAATAAAATATATCTTCATCATCATTATTAGATTAGATAGCGTCTAGTATCTGTTTCATTCCACTCAAACTACAACAAACTAACACACATAGACGACTGGCTGCAACATAGCTGAACGTGATGGAAAAACTCAAGTGTTGGGAAGTCAATCAAATTGGAATCATCCATCTTTAGGGCACACACACACACACACACAGTGTTGAACAGTGAAAGTCTCAGTAAGAGAGAGATATGCTGGCTCACTTCCTTCTTCGCCCTAAACTAATCTAACTACTTTAACCAAACAGTGGCGTAGACCGATTTCGAATGAATCTAAGGGCCACTACTATAACAACCAGTCCTATAGCAACCAATTGGCCTCCTCTGTTTTCTCTAAAAACACCTACCTCCCACCTATCTCACTATTGGTTGCTGAGGTGGCCTTCATCATCCCTCATCGATTTCACCTAAATTATCAAGCGATTCTAAACGCCACTCCAACAATGACTGAAGTAACCAAGTAGACTTGCTCATTTCATATAACTCTGCATTCCTAGTTGAAATAAATAAATCGAATTGGCCACTTCAGTTGTTGCTCGGGTGGCATTTCTTCAGTCAAATTACTTTCTGATCCTTCATAATATGTGGAGTGATGGATTGGCTCGATCGAGAACATGGAATTGTGAAAATGTGCAGAAACGGAAAATAACGTGGAGACAAGAAATTCACACACAATGTACATTCCGAAAACTTCCTCCATTGCTCCATTCCACTAACATCGACATTCTCATTCAAGGTTGAAACAACTGAACAACTGAACAAGTTTCAAAGGTCATCTCCCATGTCGAGTCTCACACTACAGGTCATGAACTGAAATATATATCCTGGCTACGGTGTGACAATGGAGTTTCGTCAGTTAACCCACCCGCCCTCCAATCAACATATCTTCCTACCAATATAAGTTAATCTGAGCAACACATCACTCATTTGTACAGATAACTGATGGTGTTCTATAACACTTACAGCACCACATGGAACATGACTACAGCAAACTGACAACCACCAGTCTGTGTTCTCAACGTCAATACCGACGACATTTCCGCACATTTTACACAACAGAAGCATTAAAACTAGGCAGTAATAGTACTTACCTGTGGACCTTGTATCGTATCAGACACAAAAGGATCTCCAACCTTCCGATTCTCCGCCAACTTCTTAAGTCTGTCAACCATCTCTTCATAAATAGCAGCCTGCACAAATACACGACTACCAGCTACACAACACTGTCCATGATTCACCATTGTAGCCTCATGCGCCACTTCTGCAGCCTTCTCAACTGAAAACAAACCACCCGACAAACAACATCAGAGATGGAGTCAGTCATTATCAAGTGAAATGATGAATCATGATAATTTAGTAGCCTCGATAAGGAAAGGATGCATGATGATTTTTCGAGGTGGTAAACGTATTCCCTTGCAGAACTCCAAGTGTCAATTCATCAAAACTAACATCTTCATGTACACTAGACACACTTCTATGTGCACAAATCAGAGTGGAACACATTCTGACCAGCACAAATGAGTGACAATTCAAATCTCATGCTGATTAACCACAGCAATCGAAGAAAGAGGAACAGACTGCTAGACAAAAACTATGCAAGTAACCACCAACAACCCAATGTCATCTCGATTACAGCTGAGAGAGGTGAAGTAACTTTCGCATCATTAGTGAGTACTTCTACCCAGTCTGTAATGTGAGTTCAAAAACTTACAAATAGCACAGAGCGAATTGAAGGTGTTAATTAGAAACAAATAAGAAGGAGAATGGAAGCATGTGGAACACTTCACTGAATTCATGATATACCACTTAATATATGTAAACTCTGACTTACGACGAATTCCACCAGAATTCAGGTGTTTCATGCATTGTCGTCATATCTTCGTCAGCTGCACGTTAGGATTATTCCAGCATGATCACACTTTATACAAAAGTGCTCACAACGTCTGTTTGCAAGTATTCCACCTATCCAACCTACATTAAACACATTGTTCTTATTGACATCAACGAACAGACGCAACACGTGTAACGACGCGTTTCCCAGTCACCTCAGTCAATACACATTCACATGCTTATCAACTCGTCCTGCTCCTTTACATGTGTCTTACGAATTCAACGACTACGTCACACAATCACACACATTCAGCTACCGCTTACTACTATATCCTTAAGATAGGAGTGTTTGCATTCCATGATAGTCCTCGCCTGACACAGCCATCTCGTTCATAGCCAAATCCAGGAAGGAAGGAAGGAAGGAAATGTAGTGGCCGGCTCACTAATAACTAGACGATTCAAGATATTAGCAAGTGAGTTCAGTGTTTCAGTTCGTCCTTCATTAGTAAGAAATGATACACTGCCTACGATCTCACAAACTGACAGTACTGGACTTTTCAATCATCATTTCTCTGTACACTCCACTTAGACACTGATTATAGTACATTAACATTCATCAACTGTCAGCTGTAGTGTTTGAACAGGAAGGCAGACATTCGATTCAACAATCATTGACTCAAATAGACTAGCCACTTTCCAAATGCTGCCCATTCCCCTTGACAAACCAATACACAACACTCTCCAAAGTTTCTCTATGTCGGTCGCGTATACACTAAAGCACTTCCCACCATGTTGACCCGAATCCAGTTGTCAACATCCCATCGATTCGGTGACTTATCAATCCGAATTTCCAATTGTTGATTGCATTCATTAGTACTAAATTCACATGCATCACCCGTGCATATTATAACACAATACAACACAGTTATAGTATATAAACTGAGGAACATTCACCTGATGCAAATGATAACCACCTATCTTGTATGTGTATGTGTACATATTCTTCAACAAACAATAAATTGTGCATTGGATAGACACAAACGACAATTTAACCTACTATCTTGACCATCTTAAATATGAATACGAATAAATTATGCATGCATTCAACATGCATTCAATTGATCAAAAAGCAAGCAGAAAACATTCAAAATCCTAAAATCATTCTACAGTCAAGTGAAAATATGAACTTCTGGTTGAAATCAACAAAGTTCTACACACCATTAAGCGTATTTGACAATAACATAAACTATTGGTATATGATAGGAGTTTTGCCACAATCCAACCTCTCTCTCTCTCTCTATCTCCCCTTTAACCACAATTAGCATCATCCATATGCGTGTATCAATAGTACTTACTGGTTGACGAACATTTCCACACATATGCTGACATCGTAATCAATGCATATATTCATGTGATGAAGTTTGTATGAACTGATAATTTCACAGTAGTGTACATCACAAGTGGAACAATCAGTGAAAAACAGAACGTTGATCATTACATGATCAGCATCTCAGCTAACTAACAAGTAGTGATGTGGTGACTGTCAGTGACTATGTAGAGACTACTACGACTGATAGTAACACCCGAATCACTAAACTTCAATGGGAAGACAATTTCACTGGCTCACAGTCGAGTGGTGAACAAGTTGACCAACATACTCGTCACCAGTCAACTGATAATCGTAGTAGAAAATCTCAACATTCATGAATATTTACATTACAAAGCAACCCAGTCTTCAGCGTGATATGTGTTACATAACCAACCACCTTGTCCTGCAGTCATTGAACACACTGACCTGGAAAGTAATTCCATAAATAAGAGTTTCACTGTTTTCAGATCGTAGAAGACACAAGTTTTACTTCCCGGAAATTATAATATTCCACACCATACACAATACTCAGTGATACCAGTGAACAATGCTCATAATAACATGATCACTTCCACTCTCCAAAAATCTCATCAAATCCGAATCACATTCATATTGGATTTGTTTACTTGGTGTAAAGCACACAGAGAGTGATACAGCATTATGTATTTACTTGATGACATCTTCAGTATAAATTATTACTCATAATCATATCAATGTGACATGCTAATCAGCAATAATAATTTATGCTCGAAACGTCATCAAAGTAAATAAATAATACTGTACCACTCCCTGTGTGTTATACATGAAAAAAGCAAATCTAATATGAAATTACATTCTATCATAGTGGCCAAGTTTCACACTGATATTTGAATCCTATAATCTAAAGTCACGACACACCAAAGTTGAAGATATTCAGGATCCATCCGGAGTGGTCATAATTCCCCACATTTCCCTCATTAGATGCCCAACATTGGCATGTGACACCTGCCACACAAACCAAGGTGTGACATCGTATAGATTCCTCCATTTCACACACACACACCCTACCCTACCCTATGGTCTTTATATACCGATATCTGTTGAGGTAAAGAGTCGAATTTCTTACATCATAACTAGTTATGATGCAACATATTGAAGGTGGAGTTGGTTCGCAATGTGACCAGTCAAACTCATCAAACAAATCATTCAATGTGAGCTCACACATAAACCTATCCACTCTTTCACCTTATTCGTCTTTCTCTCTAAGAGCTTTATGATACACACCAGGATGAAACAGTCATCCATTCCTCTCTGTATTCATTACTGCTGCAAATGACGTCGATTCGTGATGAAAACAATTCATGAACAGTGAAGACTGATCTTCAAAATGATAGTCCACAAAATATCACAAACCATGCATGTCATTCCAACACACCACACACCACACATCCCATCCACAACTCTTACAGACATCACCTCAAAAGCAAATACAAGACAAGACACTTACTATCTGCATCAGCAAATATAATCAACGGTGACTTGCCACCAAGTTCCAACGTCACGTGTTTGATATTTGTGGCTGCTGCCTTCATGATTAACTGACCGACTTCAGTACTACCAGTGAATGAGATCGCTCTCACATCCGGATGATGAGTCAATGCTTCACCAGTGATTTCACCAAATCCACAAATGATATTGACTACACCAGGTGGGAAACCTAAATCAATGGAAAACAAACTTCAATCATACATGCACAACAGGCAGTGATTTCTTCACAATAGAAATTACACCACTAATAACACCAGACACCACGTAAACGGCTGCTTGTTTGAATCTTCGGCTACCAAGTTTTCCACCGAACATAAACTAGAATCCTCATTCATCATCTCAAAAATACACATCCATTTCAATCCTGTTGTCGTCGTTTACATACGTCTTCTAAACGTATCATGTGCTCTTGCGCATTTCCCATGTTTTCAACTCGCCATTTATCGAGTTAATAACAAAACAGGGGAAAAATATCACGTTATATAGAAGTGGACTTTTGCATGTGCGAAACTACATCACATTTTTATCCCATGGATATTAAGGTCGACTTGCAGATTCTTGTACAGACTGACTGACTGAACCACCACCACCACCACCACCACCACTCCTAAACTACTCATGCTCGTATCTCTGTTGCTTCTTCATTCTAGACTGAACGTTAATCCAACACCAGTTGGCTGTTTCACATTATTGCCTTGAATAATACTGTTATTATTGACATCATCATTCAGATGCAACAACTATTTCGTCTGAAATTACTGTTCTGGGAGTGACTTGAAAGATTACCTACTGAGAATTGCATTCCGTATCATACTTATTGTTTGGAATAAAGTGGTTATCATCATTATTGTTATTGTTAATTGTATGAGGGGAAAACTGAAGACCAAACGCAATATAGATATCATGAGGGAAGATTGCTCACTTGTCGATTTTCCAGATACCCTTTGAAGTTGTCCGCATGCAGTGCAAGACCCCTCATTTCACTTCAGTGAAATAATCACTTGGAAAATGCAGGTTTGTATGCAGAACAACTGAATGCTCTCTTCATTCATTACTCCACTGAATAATGTCTACACACTTCAAATAGTGTCTGCGTGAATCAATGGTCAGTGTTCAATACTGTAATCCTCTGACATACAGGTAAATCCAACTGACTGATGCATCGCGAATAGGACAGATCGTGCGTTCTCCAGTCTCGTGATAGTAGACACCACCAACCAAGTTACATTAGATGACTTAGTTCATAACAGACTCGATTCTCGTTTTCACATCGGCAAAATTGCATTCTACGCCTATTCACATCAACAAAATTTCACGTTTGAACATTCATTTCACAGACTTCAATCCACCAAAACCACTACATTCCGGATCATTTTCAGGACTGATCTCATCTGATACATATGCATGGAATTACAAAATTTAAAGCTAATCAAGCGACATGACCTACTGAGTCATCGAACACCTATCATCCTTGTGTGAATAATTGCTCAGCAAGATTCGATTTCAACCTCCCATGGTAAACCAGTTCACCAGTTTAGTCATAAGCCCAGATAAAATGTGAAGCTTGGGCATAGGACTAGCAACCCTACTCCGGAAAACCAATCCAATCGTCATACAAACCTCAAAGCACAAGGAAAATATAAAACATAAAAACAAAATTATTCCTCCCTGGAATCGGTTACAAGAAATGATGCCGGTTGGTGAAAGCCTTCAGGAAGCCAATTGATTCATGTATATTCTCTTCTCTCGATGAAAGCAAAAGTAAGTGTAGGGACATGGGATGTCCGCACAATGTTTAAACCTAGCAAAGCTGCTCAGATCACTAAACAGATACGAAGATATATCATAGAAGTACTAGGAATCTCCGAGAACAGATGCAATCGAAGTGGACTCTCCAAACTGTCAACTCGAGAATCAATAATATACTCCGATATTCTCACCCAGACGACAACCACAAGCACAGCACACTGAGTTTTCCAGTGGCTATCATCATGTCCCCCCCCCACCCCCAACAGCATCAAACGCTCTCTCTCTCTCTCTCTCTCTCACACACACACTCACTCTTCTCATGCAGTGGCAACCAATATCCTCAACCATCAGGATCATGACAACAAGGTTCAAATCAAAAGGAAGGAAGGAAGGAAGGTCACAATCATACAATGCTACACTGCACACCTACAAATAATGCACAGCAAGAGAACAAGGAAGAATTCTACAGACAACTCCAATCAACACTGGACAAGACACCACACCAGTCGGCGATGGCGACATCAAAATTCATTCTAATGGGTGGGGTGACATGAATGCCAGCCAAACTGGGAGGAGACAACACAGGAAGAGAACTAATCATGGACCGAGAAGCACTCGGTGAAATGATGAATGACAATGGAGAACTGATTGCAGACTTCTGTGCATTCAACGATTTGGTGATTGGAGGCGAGGCGAGGCGAGGCAGTGTGTACAAACACACAAGGATATTCACAAGGCACCGACATGGATTTGATTTCACCAGACACCAGGACACTCTACACTAAAAATCAGATCGACTTCATTCCAATCTGAAGAAAGTGGAGAGGCAGCCAGCCTACTTGACACAAGGTCAGATCAAGAAGAGGAGCAGATGTATGTTCACACCACTCACTTCACCATCTAGTCCAAGGAAACTGTCTTCAAAATCAAATTGAAAGCCTTCAAGGAAGCTGGTGATAGACGACCACAGTTCAAGTTCAACACCCAAAACAAACTGAACTGAACTGAAGGATGAAACTACAAAAGACATCTTCACGTCAGTCAGTCATCAGGAAAAATGGGAGATATTAAGCAACATCCTTGAGGAAACTTGCATGGAAGAACACTGGAACTCTTTGAAAGAGATGTGGAAGGAAATCTGCATAACAGAAGCAAGACAAGGAATGCTTCTCGACGGACGGACACATGGAAGCCGGTAGAGGAGGGAGACGAAGATGGTGAAGCAGAAAATGAACCAGTGCAGTGCAGGAATGAACAAAGTGAAGAGGAACTGAACACAACCTATGAAACACTACACTGGACAAAGAAGTGAAGAAGAGTGCACGCAAAGACAAAAGACACTTAAACGACACACTTGTAAGTGAAGCAGAACAGGTCACAGGAAAGAGAAACCTAACAACATCATATCAAATAACCAGGTTACTACCCGGGAAGAGATCAACGCAAATGAAACCAATGAAAGATAGTGAAGGAATCTTAGTTACCAAAGAGAAGATGGGCTGACCACTTTAAAACCTCTTGAATCCACCACCACCTGCAACTCGTCCAGATATACCACCAACAGCCACAGAATTAACAGAGAACACAAGCCCTCCGACGAAAGCAGAAGTTCTGGACGCTATTAACTTACTGAAATCCGCGAAAGCAGCAGCATCAGATAAAATTCCACCAGAAGCACTGAAAACAGATGCACAGACAACAGCGGACATGCTCACACCACTATTGCACAAGGTTTGGAAATAAGGCATTAAAGGTACCTGCTGATTGATTGGGAGAATGGCTACCTTGTCAGATTCCCAAGGAAGGGTCGGTGACCTAAATCTTCACAAGAACTGGCGCGGAATCATGCTCCTGTCCACATCTGGCAAAATATTAAGCCACATCATCCTTGAGAGAGAGAGGGGGGGAGAGAGAGAGACTAAAAAATGCTCTGGATTCAAAATTACGACCGGAACAGAGTGGCTGGCTGGCTGGCTGGTTGGTTGGTTTCAGGAAGTACAAATTATGTGCGTACCGAATCGCAACGCTACGCTAAGCATCATCATAGAACACAGCAGACAATGGCAGACAACCGGATCTTCACCTCAACTTCATCCAATTTGAAAAAGACTCCAACAATACGATTCTAGTGCCACAAACCGTCATCAACCTCATTCAACAGCAGCTGTATGCTATATCATGCTACGTGCAAAGTCGTTCACAATGAAGTGAAGACAGGGGATAGAAGGAAGACAAGGTTGCCTTCCGCCTACCATCATAACCGATGATCTTCCTGATTGTGGTCGACTGGACTCTACTGGACTGCATCATGCAACATACAACTGTGAGGAGCGAGAAGATGAGCATACGCTGGCCACACCGATGAATTGACCCGAGAAGATTTGGATTTCACCAATGATGATTTATGATGTTTAATGTCGCACAAGCTCAAACTCGAAGATCTAAAGACGAAAACTGTCAGGTTGGCAGAAGAGGTTAGGCGAGGTAGCGAAGGAAGACGGGACTTCCTTCAGGTGAATGTAGAGAAGACACAGGTGATGAAGATACCCAACCAACAACAACAGCAACAACAAGAGTAAGCACAAGTCACCATCAATGGGAGAAATCTAAAGGAAGTTGTCTCTTTCACCTACCTAGACAGAGCAGCATCGTTTCAACTACAGGCGGCGGAGGCGGCACAGATGAGGATGTCACAGCAGCCAGGATCCGAAAGACAACAAGACAGGCCTACATTAATCTCAAATAATCAGTGTGGAGTTTTACTACGCTGAACTGCACTCAGCATAAAGAACAAGATCTAGATGTTCAACAGCAACGTCAAGTCAGTGCTTCCATCTGATGGTTGAGAGACTTGGCGCGTTTCGAAAAGCATTCCCAACAAACTACAGACATCCAACAGCTGCCACCTACGCAAGCTCGATACTGAAGATCAGACGGCCAGAAAGAATCAGCAAGGAGGAACTCAGGCTGGCTGGCAACGAACCAACCAAGAACCTATCACCCAACAAATATGCAGTAGAAGTAAGTGGAGATGGATTGGACATACACTGAGAAGACCATTCGGGGACATCACGTGCCAGGCCAGGTCAGGCCGTCGAGTGGAAGCCAAACGGGAAACGACGAGTTCGGCATGTTACGGCGACATGGAGGAGATGGTGTGAGGAAGAAATGAAAGCTTCTGAGCAGTCGTGGAACCAGGTTGAAAAGATTGTCGAGAAGAGAGTGAAATGGAGACGCGCTACAGAAGCCCTATGTTCCACTAGGAACCCAAGCGACAAATAATAATAACCTAAAATAAGATTAGATTTCGATAATACAGTTAAACAAAATGTAAGTCATCATTTAATGAAATTCCGTGATGGGTGTTGATCGAATCAAGAATAATCATACACAGAAGTCTCTCTGATCACTGATTATGAACACGAAAATCAAACTCTCAACAACAGTGAATACTCATGAAATGAGAACTGAAGATCAACAATCACAAAAGTCAGCATCCTGGGGGATAACACCATATTTCGCTTCTGTTGAGATAGCTGCTAGCTCAAAGATCTCATTGGGATACTAGCACATTTCACCACTTTGAATGAATGAATTATATGAATTCACGATTTCCAGTCAGTGACTCCAAACCACTAGACGTCACTTTGCTACTTTGCATTATCAAACCACGAGGTGATAACACGGTTCAACTAAGAGATATTGTTCACAAGAAGCATATGAACTCACTCCTACTGCTACTCCTACTCTGGAGGTTACCAGTAATGATGGGTAATCAGTAACTCAGAGATCATTGGTTTCATTTGTTCTGGCAAGTTGACTGACGCTAACGCATTTATCTGAGTATCCGTCCCCGTTCGCACAAACCGAAGTATGCCCCTCGGTGACCACCTCCAATACCACTCATCGTTGGACCTGATTGGTCGTTTTGTCGCCCCATGTTATGCTCTTGTTACTCGTATATAAAACAGTGATTTCTATATTGTAAAACTCGCAATGATCTGTCAATTAAGAGATATGCAAGGTGTCTTACTATGGTTAATTCGATTGGTGATTCATAGGCGTGCAAACATTAGTCAGTGTCAACCTATAGATAAGTGAGGGTGTGAAAGAATAATTGTAGCCAGTCAAGTCAAATCACATAATTCAATCGAAAAGTTTGTTAGTGCTCGCAAAACAAATTCCTTTTACATTGCAAGATTAGCACTTTATATCCGAACACATATAAACCCAAAACAATTTATAAAAACGATTTCTGTAAAGTCGAAACAATCGTGTCAGTTCCAACTGTCCATCCTCATACCACTACCCTACCCAAAAGGATCCACTTCAAATTTACAGAAAATCATCACTTTTCATCAGTATCATCATCGACTACTCGCTCATTAGCTCAAACTGCACCTTACAGTCAGATAACAAGACCTCGACTACGTCGAAACACATGTATAACAAACCTCGAGGTACAAAAATACTATAAAGTGGATTGATTCGCAAAAAGCAATCAAATCTCCTTACCCGCCTCTTTGATCAAACCACCCAAAAATAATGCAGATAGTGGTGTTTGTTCTGCTGGCTTCAACACAATTGTACATCCAGCACACAAACATGGTGCAATCTTGATGACGCATAAAACAAATGGGTAGTTCCAAGGTGTAATGCAGGCAACAACTCCAAGTGGTTCACGACGAGTGAATGAAATCATATTCCCATCAACAGGTAATTGTTTCCCATGTATCTTATCAGCATATCCAGCATAGTATCGAGCTATTTGTGCAGCATATAACGCATCCCCGAGTGCTGAGTCTACAGCTTTACCATTATCCATTGCATCTAAACGCTAAACATAACAATGGAAAACAGGTGGTTCAACTAATGTTATCCAGTAAAGCTACCAATAGTAAACTAAGAAGTCCTCCTTTATAAGAAGTGAGTTCATGATTTGGTAGCCTAACGGATACGTAAAGTGAAAATGGTGGGTTTGGTTCTCATTGAAAAAACTGGCACTCGCTAGGATGCAACTACATTTACTGGTTGAGTTCCAAGGAAACTGAAACACACATCGCGAATTTCAACGCTAGTTACAACTACACATACCAAAGGGAAACTTAGTGGCAACACCGAGGCATTTTTTTTCTAACAAGAGGCCTTTATCCCGAATTTCTACTACATGTCCGTGAAACATTACCATTAAAGGTGGAGGACATTAGAAGATTTTCAAGTCTTCGACCACCACTGCCTGCATAGCATAGGCTATATTTTGTGGTGTCACCATGTTAGTAAAGTAGAAACCAGGTACAGAGTTTTAAGTGGAAGAAAGAAGTCAGATTATAAGGTTATGAACATTCACTTACTAAGGTAGTTAAAGCATATGTTTTGCATAGGTAGTCACTATCTGCCCCATCGCACAATGTTAAGTGAAGTAAATTCAGGCTGGAAAACAGTTACACGAGACCAGAATCAAACATGGCACCGGTCTATGAAGCTCTTGACTGTTGATGTGAACAACGTAGTAAGATGTAAACTTCGATGTGTAGATCCACGTGACAAGCGAAATCGGTGGTTGGAGACTCTAGGTGATATGGCTCCGAACCCATCTTACTGGCGTAGATGTATGTGTACATTAACCCAGTACTGATCATCATTGTAAGCTCCAGTGTTTTCCCCTTTCTTTCTGTTGATAACCTTTCACCATCTTGACTTCTGTCTTCTTTATTTTCTAATTTTTCGTCTTAGTGCATTCTCGCCTGATAGCCATGGAAATTTGGACCACTGCACAATGATGCAAGGCCCTATGATAACATTTTGCGTCTGCAGTTATCTCAACTGAAACTGATCAACTCAACATACTAAACTTGATGACAAAAAATTACCATGTCTACATAACTGCTAAAAGCCAGAAGTTCGTGCTTACGACAAAATCATCCGACTGTTTATCATTTCGATTCCGTATACTTATTGAACAGACTAACTAGTTCACTAGTTCCTAGTCGGTCCTAAGCCCGGATAAAATGTGAAGCTTGGGCATAGGACTAGCAACCCTACTCCGGAAAACCAATCCAATCGTCATACAAACCTCAAAGCACAAGGAAAATATAAAACATAAAACAAAATTATTCCTCCCTGGAATCGGTTACAAGAAATGATGCCGGTTGGTGAAAGCCTTCAGGAAGCCAATTGATTCATGTATATTCTCTTCTCTCGATGAAAGCAAAAGTAAGTGTAGGGACATGGGATGTCCGCACAATGTTTAAACCTAGCAAAGCTGCTCAGATCACTAAACAGATACGAAGATATATCATAGAAGTACTAGGAATCTCCGAGAACAGATGCAATCGAAGTGGACTCTCCAAACTGTCAACTCGAGAATCAATAATATACTCCGATATTCTCACCCAGACGACAACCACAAGCACAGCACACTGAGTTTTCCAGTGGCTATCATCATGTCCCCCCCCCACCCCCAACAGCATCAAACGCTCTCTCTCTCTCTCTCTCTCTCACACACACACTCACTCTTCTCATGCAGTGGCAACCAATATCCTCAACCATCAGGATCATGACAACAAGGTTCAAATCAAAAGGAAGGAAGGAAGGAAGGTCACAATCATACAATGCTACACTGCACACCTACAAATAATGCACAGCAAGAGAACAAGGAAGAATTCTACAGACAACTCCAATCAACACTGGACAAGACACCACACCAGTCGGCGATGGCGACATCAAAATTCATTCTAATGGGTGGGGTGACATGAATGCCAGCCAAACTGGGAGGAGACAACACAGGAAGAGAACTAATCATGGACCGAGAAGCACTCGGTGAAATGATGAATGACAATGGAGAACTGATTGCAGACTTCTGTGCATTCAACGATTTGGTGATTGGAGGCGAGGCGAGGCGAGGCAGTGTGTACAAACACACAAGGATATTCACAAGGCACCGACATGGATTTGATTTCACCAGACACCAGGACACTCTACACTAAAAATCAGATCGACTTCATTCCAATCTGAAGAAAGTGGAGAGGCAGCCAGCCTACTTGACACAAGGTCAGATCAAGAAGAGGAGCAGATGTATGTTCACACCACTCACTTCACCATCTAGTCCAAGGAAACTGTCTTCAAAATCAAATTGAAAGCCTTCAAGGAAGCTGGTGATAGACGACCACAGTTCAAGTTCAACACCCAAAACAAACTGAACTGAACTGAAGGATGAAACTACAAAAGACATCTTCACGTCAGTCAGTCATCAGGAAAAATGGGAGATATTGAGCAACATCCCTGAAGAAACCTGTGTGCAAGGACACAGGAACTCTTTGAAAGAGATGTGGAAAGAAACCTGCACAACCCTAGTAGGAAGGAAGAAGAAAGAAGACAAGGAGTGGAATGGATCTCGATGGACATATGGAAGCTGATAGAGGAGGGAGAGGAGGATGGTGAAGCCGAAAATAAACCAGTGCAAGGATGCTCAACGACAAGAGGAACTGAGTACAATGTATAAAACACTACACTGAACAAAGAAGTGAAGAAGAGTGCACACAAAGACAAAAGACACTTCTACGAAACACTGGCAAGTGAAGCAGAACAGGCTGCTGCAAGAAGTAGGAGAGACAGAGACCTGACAACATTGTATCAAATAACCAGGTCACTTGCTGTCTGGGAAGAGATCAACACAGCACAGATGAAACCGATGAAAGGTGATGAAGGAAATTTAATTACGAAAGAAGAGAAACCAAGGAGACGATGGGCCGACCACTTCAAGAAGCTCTTGAATCGACCACCACCACCACCACCACCACTGCACTTCATCCAGAAATACCTCCTGCATCCCAGCCACAGAACTACAAGTGAACATAAATCCTCCAACAAAAGTCGAAGTCCTGAACGCCATAAAGCTTCTGAAATGTGGGAAAGCAGCAGGACCAGATGGAATCCCGTCAGAAGCACTGAGAGCAGACGCAGAGACAACAGCAGCAGACATGCTCACACCACACACCACACCACACCACACCACTATTGCAGAAGGTGTGGAAGGAAGGGAAGGTAACTGCCAGTTGATTGGAAGAAGGGTTACCTTGTCAAACTCCCGAGGAAGGGAGACCTCAGTGTTTGCAAGAACTGGCGTGCAATCATTCTCCTGTCCACCCACATCAAGCAAAATATTAAGCCGCATCATCTTGGAGAGACTAAAGGATGCTCTGGATTCAAAACTACGACCGGAACAGGCTGGCTCGCTGGCTTCAGGAAGTACAAATCATGTGCCGATCAAATTGCAACGCTTCGCATCATCATAGAACAAAGTAAAGAATGGCAGTCAACTCAACTCTACCTCAACTTCATCGACTTTGAAAGCTGCCTCAATACCATGGAATACCGCAAACCTTTATCAGCCTCATTCAACAACTATATGAAGATGCCACATGTCAAGCAATTCACAATGGGAAGCTCAGTTATGCTTTTGAAGTGAAGTGAAGACAGGAGTGAAACAAGGCTGTCTACTATCACCCATGATATTCTTGATTGTGGTCGACTGGACTGGATCATGCAGCAAACAGTGGGGAACGAGAAGAGGGGGATACTCCAACTGGACCACGGAAAAGATCCTAGAAGACTTCGATTTCCCCAATGACTTGTCTCTGATGTCTTGTGGCACACACTTGAAGATCTTCAGGCGAAAACTAACAAGTTGACAGAAGAAGCAGGGTAGGGCAGATCATGGCATGGCAGCGAAGACGGGACTTCAAGTGAACGTAGAGAAGACCAACAACAAGCTCCGATCACCATGAGCGGGAGAAACTTAAAGGAAGTAGCCTCCTTCACCTATCTAGACAGCACTGTTTCAACTACAGGCGGTACAGGTACAGAAGAGGATGTCAAAGTAAGAATAGGAAAAGCAAGACAGGCGTTCATTAACCTGAAACCAGTGTGGAGATCTTCTGCACTCATCACAAAGAACAAGATCCGGATTTTCAACACCAACGTCAAATCAGTGCTCCTGTATTGCTCAGAGACTTGGCGCGTTACGAAAAGCACTTCCAACAAACTACAGACATTCATCAACAACTGCCTACGCCCACTCGCTACTGAAGGTCAGATGACCGGAAAGAAAAAGCAACAAGGAACTCTGGGAACGAACCAACGAAGCAATAACCTATCACTCAACAAATATGCACTGGAAGGAAGTGGAGATGGATTGGGCATGCACTGAGAAGACCGACTGGGGACATCACGCTCAGGCCCTCTAGTGGAATCCCCATGGGAAGCGACGAGTTGGACGTCGGAGGGTGACATGGAGGAGATCGTGCGAGGAGGAAATGAGAGCTTGTGGGCTGTCGTGGAGCCAGGTTCAAAAGATTTCAGAGAACAGAGCGCATCGGAGACGTGTTACTGAAGCCCTATGTTGCTTTAGGAACCCAAGAGATAAATAATAAGAAGAACTACTGTTTTGCATCCACGTCATGTATGATTAAGATCACATGTTGTTACAAAGAACAATTATAAAGAGAAATCATCAGCGTGCATAGGATGAATGGTATGCATCTGCAATGTTCCAGTTGTATTAATTGTGATAACTAGAAGTGTGGGTTACTGCTTGTGAAAAAGACTACTACTAACGACCAGATAATGGTATTGAACAAAGTCGATTTAATTAGCCCTGGGTAATCAAACAGTATTATGAGCTGATATACATACACACTAAATATGATTCATAACATTACTCAAAACTATAGGGTCTTTCAGTCAGCCAACTATTCGAAAAATGAAACTAGAGGGGATTTGACCGAATAAGCAAACAAGCTGTAAAACTAAGCCATTATCCATGTGGTTTTTACTCTGAGCTACTGAAGGAGAATAATCCTGGTACATGTTACATGGTACCCAACTTCAAGTAGCAACAGAAATCAGATTCAACTGCTTCAACCATGTTAAACGCAGACATTCGTATCACGTATCCTCTTTACAATAGCAAGAATGTAACTCGGTAACTGAAGTAATCCACCTAATAATCTTTCAACACTAAAAACTGTTGGAGAATGCTACTCAACCGAGTAGATATGAAGGTGTGACTCATCAGTAGAGGTGAATGCTCACATCAATCAACCACATACCTCTCACAACCACTTCAATCACAATTGAAACATATTCACAATAATGTAAAACACTAAAACATACGACTCACAGCTATGTAGTCAGCATGCTTCTCAATCAAATCAGCCAACTTATACAGCAGACAACCACGTTCTGATGCATCCATTGTACGCCATCTAGATCCCCTTCGAAAAGCAATTTTTGCAGCCATCACTGCTCTGTTCACATCACTTTGATCAGCCTCTTGAACATGACATATTACTTGCTCGTTAGTTGGATTGATGGTTGGAAATGTTTTCTTCGACTGACTGTCGATAAACTCATTATCGATGAATAGCTGAGAAATGAGTAGAGATGAGAAGACATATGGTGAGTAACATGTGAAAGAATCAAGTTTGGGAATTGTCGTCGATTTGCATTTTGGTTGAGGATGTAAATGTAGTTAGGAACAGTGTGGAAAAAATTGAAATTTTCTGGCAAGCATGAAAGGCCGGTGCTGCTAATATTTATAAAATCAACAGGTATAATCATATCGGTAACATGCCGAATTTCTCCACAGCCTACGATCATATAAGAATCAGTTAGACTGGTCAGCACAGTCTTGAGGATTCAACCATCAATAAATTGGATAAAGCAATAGGTTCAGCCTCTCTTAACCGAAGCACACTGCTTCTTAAATGTTATCAGATGTCTTTTTTCTTATAACTGTTGCAAGCTAAACGTCAAAATTGCAAGGATATCACAGCTATTTGGTCTTATTTATAGTTTTAAAGTATCAATAACAACTAAAAATCACAAGTAAGACCTGTGCTGGTAGGAAAGTTTGCAAAAGAATTTATAACTTGAATAATGCTCGATTGACAGTGGCCATTCTCAGTTCACCGATAAATATAAAACAGACTAAAAACAGGATATATTATAGTCAGTGTATCCCGTTCTAAGATTCATTTCATTGGAAGTGAAATGAATCCCTGGGTTGCATGCGGACTCGAACCGTCAAGCCCCAAATTACCGACCTAGTGTTCTACCACCTGACCTAAGAAACTTAGATACTAACCGGGTCTTTGGATTCAAGACCTGGTTAGCATTTATTTAGTGAGGATTTCGCCCGGCTGCTATGACATTAAGTGATACGCAAATGCTTGTACATTGTTATCACACTAGATGTTCCCATTCAAATACAAATCGAGATGAATTTAGGGCGATGCTGCACTGACTGTTGTTGGGAGTATCTGATATATTCATGTGATACATCTCTAATCCGAATGTATGAAACGTCCACGTCAAGATGAGCTCGACAATTTAGAAAAGTGATCAGCAATAGCTATACGCATGGAATCGAAAGCAAGCACAAGATAGATTTCCATAATGTAGACACATGGATAAACGGTTTGCGTTCACACAAAGAAGTATTGACTTCGGAAGGCCTACATATTCTAACCGCATCAGGTGCTATAACGAGAAGGGACGGAATAAACTTGTCAACTATTTAGCGAACACTAATCCGACAGAAGACCATTAAAGGTGATTTCCTCTAGTTGAAGCCGCACGACTAGTGATTGTTCATCAATGACTGTTACTGAAAATTTAGAATATTCTATTGAAGAAGCCTTAGCTCACACACCCAAAGCTTTCAGGAAAGTCTTATTTTGACTTTCTTCTAAATATGATGGGATTATATTAAAACATATTCTAATAAGCGGTGTAGCTCACGAATGAAACATCTTTCGGTAGCAGCGGTCCATGAGATCAGAGGGAATTTCAAAATCTAAACCACATGCCACGAACACCACTTTACCTGAGTGTATTTCACCTCTGGCAGAGAATACGTCGTCGCCATCTCTACGCCTCAAAATAACTATCGGAACACAAACGTTGTAATTTATGTCATATATAGACAGTCAGAAAGGTCACTCTATTTTCTGTAAACTTGATTGGTTAGATTCGACTGTCAAGCTGTCACTAAATTATTTTTCTACCCCCAGAGATTGCCTGGCTTTAAAAGCCTAGACGTATGCAAGCAGATCGATAGTTTTCACTGTGTGGTTCACGTAAACGGCGAATCAGAGTTGAATCAATTTAAAGGTCACTCTTACTGAAATAACCAATTGATTTCCTGCACTTTAGGCAAAACAAGGCTTCTGCTCAGAAAATGGGGATATACTTGAGTATGTCAGTAGTTGTAAAGGTTGTCTTTGAGGTTGCTTAAGTATGTAACTTGCTGAGAAGTAACCAACGCGTCAGTTGGCTTCAGCAGCCTTAAATGCACATTCATAATAAAAGCAGCACAACAATGTCCATCAATAGTCTTTTATCACTCGGATATTTTTACGCTTCAGTAAACATGAAAATCACGTGTGACGCTCATGCCAATGTGTAAGGCTATATGTCACGAATACCTTCATATTTTCAGAAAGGATTTACCAATGATCAAATGGAACTATCGAGCCTGCAAACACCGACTAGTTTACTAGCCGGTCATAAGCCCGCATGAAGAGGAAAGGCTGAACCCAGAAAAATCAATCCAATCGCCATACAAACCTCAAAGCACAAGGAAAATATAAAACATAAAAACAAAATTATTCCTCCCTGGAATCGGTTACAAGAAATGATGCCGGTTGGTGAAAGCCTTCAGGAAGCCAATTGATTCATGTATATTCTCTTCTCTCGATGAAAGCAAAAGTAAGTGTAGGGACATGGGATGTCCGCACAATGTTTAAACCTAGCAAAGCTGCTCAGATCACTAAACAGATACGAAGATATATCATAGAAGTACTAGGAATCTCCGAGAACAGATGCAATCGAAGTGGACTCTCCAAACTGTCAACTCGAGAATCAATAATATACTCCGATATTCTCACCCAGACGACAACCACAAGCACAGCACACTGAGTTTTCCAGTGGCTATCATCATGTCCCCCCCCCCACCCCCAACAGCATCAAACGCTCTCTCTCTCTCTCTCTCTCACACACACTCACTCTTCTCATGCAGTGGCAACCAATATCCTCAACCATCAGGATCATGACAACAAGGTTCAAATCAAAAGGAAGGAAGGAAGGAAGGTCACAATCATACAATGCTACACTGCACACCTACAAATAATGCACAGCAAGAGAACAAGGAAGAATTCTACAGACAACTCCAATCAACACTGGACAAGACACCACACCAGTCGGCGATGGCGACATCAAAATTCATTCTAATGGGTGGGGTGACATGAATGCCAGCCAAACTGGGAGGAGACAACACAGGAAGAGAACTAATCATGGACCGAGAAGCACTCGGTGAAATGATGAATGACAATGGAGAACTGATTGCAGACTTCTGTGCATTCAACGATTTGGTGATTGGAGGCGAGGCGAGGCGAGGCAGTGTGTACAAACACACAAGGATATTCACAAGGCACCGACATGGATTTGATTTCACCAGACACCAGGACACTCTACACTAAAAATCAGATCGACTTCATTCCAATCTGAAGAAAGTGGAGAGGCAGCCAGCCTACTTGACACAAGGTCAGATCAAGAAGAGGAGCAGATGTAGGTTCACACCACTCACTTCACCATCTAGTCCAAGGAAACTGTCTTCAAAATCAAATTGAAAGCCTTCAAGGAAGCTGGTGATAGACGACCACAGTTCAAGTTCAACACCCAAAACAAACTGAACTGAACTGAAGGATGAAACTACAAAAGACATCTTCACGTCAGTCAGTCATCAGGAAAAATGGGAGATATTAAGCAACATCCTTGAGGAAACTTGCATGGAAGAACACTGGAACTCTTTGAAAGAGATGTGGAAGGAAATCTGCATAACAGAAGCAAGACAAGGAATGCTTCTCGACGGACGGACACATGGAAGCCGGTAGAGGAGGGAGACGAAGATGGTGAAGCAGAAAATGAACCAGTGCAGTGCAGGAATGAACAAAGTGAAGAGGAACTGAACACAACCTATGAAACACTACACTGGACAAAGAAGTGAAGAAGAGTGCACGCAAAGACAAAAGACACTTAAACGACACACTTGTAAGTGAAGCAGAACAGGTCACAGGAAAGAGAAACCTAACAACATCATATCAAATAACCAGGTTACTACCCGGGAAGAGATCAACGCAAATGAAACCAATGAAAGGTAGTGTAGCATTTTATTTCACTGTATTGTGTTGATATATGTAACAACTCATTGAACACTTTTTGTTTAGTTGTACTGAAAAAGACTTTTTGCTCGCTCGTTGACTAATACAACATCCTGATATATACTTCGCGTTAACTCCTGATATTTACGCTGTCTGACGCAGGTGGATCAGCAGTGTCGGGAATTATAAATAGGCGATAGTGTATCTGGACACGTATATAAAATTTGGAGTCAGATTTCAGAGCTCGACAAACTGGTGAGCCCGACGTGATTAAACTCTCGCAATTGAATACTGCAACCGGTCATTAATGACTGTATACAATACGGATATACATATATACTGAGAATTTCTTTGGCTGCTTTGTGGTAGGCATTGACATACTTGTTTATCGTATTTTTCCTGCTCTTGTTCTTAAATATTTTTTTTGCTGTACCAGTACTGATGTCCTTAAACTCTCATAATCAAGACTTTTCGAATTTAGGGTCCGTGGGTGCCATTAATCTTCCTATGCCTTGTTTTAAGTTTAATGACCCGCAATTGTGGTTTGTCCGTCTAGAACATTTCTTCATGGCCAATCATATAACTTCACAAAACACAAAGTTCGGATACACAAGCTCTGTTTTGCCGGAAGAAGTGGCTGAACAAGTAAGGGAGACACTACTAAAGCCCCACCCAGACACACCTTATGATGTTTTGAAGCAGGAGGTGCTGAAAGCTACTTCGTTATCTGACCAGAAGGCTGTCGATCAACTACTAAGTAGCATATGCCTCGGTGACAGAACACCTTCACAACTTAAGCGACATATGCAAAGTCTGCTGAAAGATAGGAAAGTAGACAACCGTTTATTCTACCAGCTCTGGCTGCGGAGACTTCCTTCATGCATTCAGCAGATATTAGCTGTCGGAGATGCGAAAAAAGACATTGACAGGTTGGCTGACATCGCTGACCGTATGTACGAAAGGATGCCTAAACCGGTTGAAAGTATTGCTGAGCCAACGCAAAACGACCGAGTGGCCGCTTTAGAGAGGAAGATAGACATACTTACAGGACAACTGACGGCTTTGCAGTTAAACCGACGGTCACCGAAGTTCTGTAGAAGCAGATCCCGTAGTCGTGATAGGACCACGAGTAGAATTGCGTCTAAAAGTAGCACGTGCTGGTATCACAAGAAGTTTGGCAGTAAAGCACGTCGTTGTTTGTTACCATGCGATTTTAAAACCTTTTCATCGGGAAACGGAAAGGCCGGCGATCAGTGACGACTGCTGTCGCCGGCGTACAACAACACAGTCGTTTGTTTCGAGTGACGGATAGGAAGACTGGAGCTCAGTTTCTGGTTGACACTGGAGCGGAAGTGAGCGTGATCCCACCCACACCTTCCGAAAAACGCCATCCCAACCCAACTTTGGTACTACAAGCGGCAAATAGATCTGCTATTACTACATATGGGACCAGAATTTTGATCCTAGACATTGGCTTTCATACACCATTCCAGTGGGAATTCGTCATAGCTGACATATCGTCGCCTATCATTGGCATGGATTTCCTTCAACACTACGAACTATTGGTCGACTCTAGTCGCCATAGACTAGTCAGCCGTAATGGTGAATTTTCTATCACCGGTATCGCTACGGAGACAAAAACAATAAACTTAGTCGTAGCTCCAATAAACAACACTTCCGAGTACGATATCCTTCTGCGAGAATTTCCCGAGCTCACTCAAACGGATTACACGAAGTCCTCTCCAAAACATACGGTGACGCACCATATTCTTACAAAAGGTCCTCCAGTCTCATCAAAACCTCGACGCTTAGACCCTAAAAAGCTGCAGATAGCAAAACAGGAATTTGATAAACTTCTAAAGTTGGGAGTTATACGCCCTTCCAAAGCCCATGGTCATCACCCCTGCATATGGTACCTAAAAAAGCATCAGGGGAAATACGGCCTTGCGGTGATTATCGAGCGTTGAATAAGCGTACGGTCCCTGATAAGTATCCAATTCCTCACATACATGATTTTATGAACTCTATGACAAAAGTAAATATTTTTTCCAAGATTGACCTCGTGCGAGCTTACTATCACATTCCTGTGGAACCCAATGATGTTCCTAAGACGGCCATCACTACCCCTTCGGACTATTCGAATTTATTCGTATGCCGTTTGGTTTGACAAATGCTGCTCAAACATTCCAAAGATTTATAGATCAGGTACTCCATGGCTTACCTTTCGTCAGTGCATACATAGATGACTTAATAGTAGCTAGCGCATCTGAAACAGAGCACCTGCAACATCTGAGGACGCTTTTCGAACGACTGCGTGAATATGGCATTACAATCAATCCGCAGAAATGCGAATTTGGCAAGGAATCCCTACAGTTTTTGGGTCACATTGTTAATGCCAACGGTGTTAAACCGGTTCCGCAAGAAGTAGATGCAATTCGAGAATATCCTGTTCCAGACTCGTTTCGAAAGCTGCGAAGATTTCTGGGGTTAATAAACTTCTATCGACGTTTCATACCTAAATGTGCTGAAGTAGCCCAACCGCTGACAGATTTATTGCAAGGACGAGCCAAAGTGTTTCACATGACCCAAGCGGCCCATGATGCTTTTGACAAACTGAAGCTGGCTCTAAGTTCTGAAACTCTTCTCTCTCGTCGTGATTCAGAAGCACCACTAGCCATCATGACAGACGCTTCAAATGTTGCGGTAG